CAGCATCTTAGCTGTAGAGGGCAGTGTCACTGGCCCTCATATGTGGGATCCGAACCAGGGCCCTCTGGCATCCCAAGCCAGTTCTTAACCATCGCGCTACTCGGCCGGCCCCCCATACACACTTCTTAAAGCTACATGAAAACATGGCTTCATCTACTAACAATGATCACAGGACATTAATATTCATTAAATTCATTATATAAATTAAGTTTAACTGGGGTTATATTATCAACATAAGTTCAATGTAATGTTCATTTCATTTCTATATAGATAGATAGTAGGTTATTAAAGTATCCTTGTAGAAAAGAAAAATGTAGACTAATCCTACACATTTATATATCATGAGTATGAAAGAAAGAGAAGTGAATTTTAATAATGTGCTCACCAATAATACTTCTCCTAACATCTTATAAATATTAAGCCAAAATAACAGACACACTTAGTTACCTGATGGTGAATGTTACTCTTGCAATCCAGTTTTGTCCTTTAAAAGGTTGGTCAGTGAAAAAAGAAGTCACTAAGTAGTAAAGGAAGTGGAAAGCATGTACATCAGAAGGAATTCGGAAAATTATTTGGCAGAGATAGAATATATCGTCTGTATCTGTTTTTAAATACCACTTAAAAGAAAGTGGGCAGACTAGTAGAATCTGCTAATTTTACTTATAAAAAGGACAGGTTCATAGAAGAGGTACCTTCATATTGTGTTTAAAATTCTGGAGCTGGTCTAGACAATGGCTGTGAAGAATTCGCCTTCCAGCTGAGTTAATCTTGACTGCCAAGCCGGGGTTACAGTAACACCTAGCGGGCCACGACTACCTTTCCATTGGCATTAAATGCTTTAGCTTAAATGACCACTGAGTTTAGCAAAGAACTGAATACAGGCAGTATCACCTCCCTTTAAACATATCTTTTATCCCACAGCTCTTATCTCGTAGAAAAATATTCTAGGAAATGAATTTTCAGTAAAAGTGAGCTAGTTCTCTTGGCAATCTCCCCAACCTTTCTACCCACATAGTGGAAATACATGGGAGTGTTGCCAAGAAAAGGAAAAAAACAAAAACAAAAAAACCCCACACAGTTGGAGGAAATTACCAACTCCAAAAGCTGAAAAGCATTGTCACCCTTTTAGAAATTACTGTTTCTTTGTTGTGTGCATGAAACACTTTCTGTGATTGACCTGACAAGGCACCCTGAAATTTGGCACAGTTCTTTCAGAGAGGACAAGGGTCGGGATTTCCAGGTGAGCTACTTCTTATATCAACAACAGCAGTTGACATGTTCTGAGAGTCGCCTTCCCAATGACCAGGAAGGCTCAGAAGGCTTAGGTGAGGGAAACTTACCAGGACAAGGTTTCAGCATGCCCTTTTCTGGTGGGTTCCAGGCAAGGTGGGCTTTCAAAGAACTTCTTTCACAGAGAAAGAAACCCCTTCACCTTGCAAGTCTTTTTCAAATGTGATTCTTTATGAAGCCTACCCTGACCACATTATTTAAAATTGCAACTCACTCTCCCACACCTAATCTCTTAACCCTGCTCTATTTTTATGATTTTTTTAATGTACAAAACTTTTTTTTTTTTTAAGATTTTATTGGGGCATTGGGAGAGGGGAACAGACAAGTTGCTGTCCTTTTATTCTTCAGTCTAGTTGTAAAGGATGTCGCTTCATTGGCCCATGTTGGTGTTATCATTGTGCTCTTCCCGGGTGAGGCAGTCCACCGGCCGTTGGACGGCTGCCCATTGCGGCTCATGAAAGCTCACACCTGCTGCCAGCCAGCCCCACTGCTGCCTACACCATCAATGGCAACTCACGGCAGCCCAGCTCCAGGTCGAGCTGCTGTTCACCATCTTAACTGTAGAGGGCACAGTGTCACTGGCCCTCTTGTGGGATCCGAACCTGCTCAGAGCTGGCGTCCCAAGCCAACTTTAAACCAACGCATCACTCGGCCGGCCATTAATGTACAAATCTTAAGTGTACAGGTCAATGAACTCATATATGTATACATCACCCACATCAAGATATTGAACTCTTACAGTACCCTAGATGGCTCCTTTAGTGGCCTCCTCCCAACCAGTCCTGTTGTATTTTTCTCAAAGCATTTGTCATCTTTTAAGATACAATTTGCCTGATTGGTTCACTGATTTATCTAAGCAACTAGAACAGTGCTGGCACATATTAGGTGCTCAATAAATATTTGTTAAGTAAATGAATCTTTGAAACAATGCTCATCATGTCCCTTTGTCCACACCCTCCCCCTCCATGTGGTCTGTGAGAGCAGCATCCTAGCTTGAAGTCTTCAGTGTCTACACAGGGGCATTAAATGCAGCTGCAGGAATGGCATTTATCAAATCAGAGTGTGGGTGTGGATTGGATGTTGTCTTAGCGTATCTCTCTTCTAGGCAATGTTTTCCTGGACAGATTATGCACTTGCTGACAGGTCTTCAGGAAGGAAGGGATCCTTCCTTTAGTCTAGAATCACTTCTTGATTCCTAGGTTTACCGGCATTTCTCCTGGCAGGGCAGAACCCTCCTCAGCAGCCTTCCTCCTTCTGACTCTGCTGTTCCTACTAATGCCATCACCCAGCCTGGAGCACTTGCTCCTCTCACGTGCTTCCATCTCCCAGCCACTTGCAGGCTCTGGCCACTCTGCATCTCAACCATTTCTCCTATTGTCCTTGGAAGTGCCTCTGCCTTCTCACTTCCATTGGCAACTCCTTTAGGCCCACCTTATGTTGCTGTACTAGCCTCCCAGATGGTACCCCCATGTTCAGTCTTATCCTCTTCCAAACTATCCCCATTACTTTTCCTAAAACACAACCTTGATCATGTCATTGCTGTGGTCATAAACTCCCAATGGTTTGCAGGCGCTGCCAAAAGCGAGCCCAAAGTCCTTAGCCTGCATTCAAGGACTTCCAGACCCCAACTCCCTCACTAACTTTATGTACCGTGTTTCCCCCAAAGTAAGACCTAACTGGAAAATAAACCCTAGCATGATTTTTCAGGATGCTCGTAATATAAGCCCTACCCCAAACATAAACCCCAGTTAAGATCATCAGCCAGACGTGACTGTTTGAGTAAATGTAGATTTTTGTACAGGAATAAATGAAATGTAGATTGTTGGAGCAAAAGTTAATATAAGACCTGGTCTTATTTTGGGGGAAACACTGTAGTGCCATTGTACTGCCAGCCAACTGGTCTACCCCACAGTGGCTAAACAGACCCTGTGTCTTCAGGCCTCTGTGCCTTGTTCTGTTGTTGGGGTCAGAAAATAAGCCCTGAAAGGAACCATTTGGATCCAGTCTCATTTTACAGATGAGGAAACTGAGGCCCTGGGAGATTAAAGGACTGACCAGTACAACCTAGTCAAAGATCAAGTGTAGCTAATGAAAAAGAAACCCAGGGCAGTCTAGGGTTTAACTGGACCCATTGAATCGTTCACATACCTGAAGATCAAATCGGTGGACCACTTTTTAAATATCTTCTTCATGCAACTCTGATCCCTAAACCTGTGGGTCTTTGAATCTCGCCTCAAGCATGGCCTCCTCGCTGAAGTCTCCCGTAAGCCCCCATTTGCGAGTCTGAACTCTCAAGCCAACGACCTGAGCCTCTCTGATCTGCAAGTAGCTGAAGTCCTATCTCTCTTGCTACATTTTAAGCAAACTGTGATTCACCTGACTTTCCTTCATTCATATCCCAGTGACTTGTCCATAGCAGGTGAGCAGTAAAATTCTGTTGATGGGGGAGCTTCTTGTGTAAGGAGTCTAATGTGCTGCATCCTGCCAGGGAGATGCGTTTCACATGCCCAGACACCAGCTATCAACCATGCACGCGAGTCCAAAACTTCCAACCACATCGCGCCATTCACGTGGGGTACCCTGACTCCTATTGACCTGTAAAGGTGAGGGAGTTTGGTCTCAGCAGAAAGCCCGCCGCTGCAATTACAGGATAAGTTTCTCGAAGTCTTTTGGCACTGTCTCTTTCCCCACCCTCCGCGCGTGGAACCGCGACGCGCATTCGGTGACCTGTCCGGGAACGTGACTTGGCATCCAAAGGGTATACAGCTCCTCTTACTCAGGGAGCTCAGGTCCCGGGCGAGCCGTGGCCCCGCCAGCTTTCCGGGCTGGCGCGGTCACCGACCCCGGGTGGTGGCCAGTACGGACGAGGGCAGCGGGAAAGTGACGCGAGGCTGGTGGGGCGGAGTGGCGAGCGCGGCCCCTTGGGAGGCGGGAGCACCGGGGAAGCCGAAAGCGGCCACAGCTGCCAGGTCGCGGAACGGACGAGGCGGAGGCCACGGCCAGGGCGCCCACCTGCCGCCGGGGCACACGGAGGGCAACGGGGCTCAACCTGGGCCGCGTCTGTTCGCCCAGGGACTCGCGGTCCAGCCCCTCTCCGCCCCCGGGAGGGACAAAAGGAGGGCCGACGGTTGGGCCCGCCCCTCGCCCCTGCTGCGAGCCGGGGCCGCGGCTGCGGGAGGGAAACAGGAGGCACCATCCCGGAGCGGAGAAACCAGTTTGGCCGGTCCTGGGGAGCGGAGGGAAAAGGGCGGACGCAGAGGAAGGGCGCGCGGACGCGGGGCGGGGAAAGGCGAGGAGCCATTGGCAAGTTGCGAGAGCCCGGAGAGCCGCCGCCAACAGAACGAGCTTGCCGGGGCCCCGGGCCAGCCTCCGTGCGCCATGAAGCGCTAGCGCGGCGGCCAGAGCTGGGGCCGGGCGGGCGGGCGGTCGGCGGCGGCCAGGTGCGCAGCGAGCGCGCGGAGAGGCGCGCACCCGGATGCCCCAGCCGGGGCCCAGCGAGCGCCAGGTAAGCAGGGGCACGGCGCCAGGGGCCCCCGACCTGCCCCTCCTCATTGGTCCCCAGGGTCCTCTGATTGCCCCGGGGTCAGCGAACTCTGGGGACCCGGGATGCTGTGGCAGCAGCTGTCCGCGCCCTCGGGCTCCTTAGTCCGCACGGGTGGGATTTGGGTGGGGGTGCCTGTAGCCTTAGCGGCCTCGGGGATGGGGAGGCACAGCTGGCCGGGCAGGCAGCACTGTGGAGCAGTCTGTGAGGTTTTCCCACTTGCCAGGAGGAAAGGGAGCTCGCGGGAGCTGTTTGGCTCGCGGGAGGTGTTTGGGTTCTTCGCTCGTTTGCTGACACACATGACCAGGGTTAAGCTCCGAGGGTCAAGCCTGGGGAGGCTTGCGGGTCCTTGGGAAGTGCCGTTGGCTTCCCATAAAGTGTCTGCCGCCCTTCTGGAAGTCTCCCGTGGCTGGGTTCTGCCGGAGCTCCCTTTGGGAGCCAATGCCAACGCGTCCGAAAAAGATCTTAGCGTCAAATGTACCTGACGCACCTGCGGGGAAGGATGGAGGGTGAGATCGCCTCCATAGCGCCGGCTGCGGGACTAGGCACCATCGGACATCTTCCGTGCGCTTTTACGCAGGTTGGGAGGTGGTGGGGAAAAGGGTTACTTTTTCTGGCGATTGTAGGGTCGTATCTGCCAGCTCCGATCGCACTGACTGCCACAGCCCATCCCCTTCCCTTCCCGGTTTGATGCCCAGCGCTGTCACCTCGCTTTATGCGTGCGGAGCCGCAAATTGTAGGGCGTGGGTGGTGTTGCAGAGAATGGCAAGAGTTGTAACTTCTCAAGTCCCCACCCCTCCCCAAGTGAAAGAAAAGTTTGAACTGCCCGCGCAATTTCTTCCAGGGGGTGCGCGCCTGATCCCCACCGGGGGAGCCTCGGAACGTAGATCCGTGACAGCTGTAGAGGTAGGACGAGGGTGCAGAACAGGAGAGCGGGGTTGACGCGCGCAAGTAAGGGAGACCTGGGCCACATTTCCGCCCAGTGAATGCCCCTCAACCCCACCCGACCCTTTCGGCCTGCCGGAGCAGCCTCTGGAGGGTTCCGAGTCCTTCTTGGTTAGCTCCGGACACAGCCGAGTTCCCCTCCCGGAAACCGCCCGCCCTGTTGGCTTGAGAAGAGATTCCCGTTTTCCACGTTGCATTGCCTTCAAACTAAAGTCTCCACTCCATGATAATTAAAGGAGACAACATAGGCGAAGTGCTTGAACTTCACCTGCAAAACAGTAGGTTAGGGACCAAGGTTCACTGATCTAGGAACAGAAACTGAAAAATGATGTGTGATTAAAAGTCTGCAGAGATAAGTAAATACAAGTGCATGTAAAAAGAGGAAACAACACAAAACGTGAAGTAGTTCTGATTTTCATCGTCTCAGGAGTACTTCTGTGTTAGACCTAAAATGCCATTCATTCATTCTGGGCCTATTGTTGTAAGCTTAAAAAAACACAAAAACCTACTATTATAAATGCATGTACTGTGCAAAAGATGATTAATCGTTATTAGCTGATTACTGTGTGGGAAGAAGTTCGCCTGCCTGCAATTACCCCTCTGAATTCTCTTAATGGTTTTCATTATGTAGTGGAGGCCTGCTAATTTTAAGTAAGCAACCGTAACAGCTTTTTTCACTTGCCTTTTTCTAGTGGCTGGTGCTCCGGTAACTTTTGTGAGTCTTTGTGTCTGTTATTGAGGGCCAGACAAGACCCATGTGGCTTAATACTAATGAACACAAATACCCTCTGTGAGAGAGCAGCTCTGGCTACTTTCAAGCTTTCCTTCTGGTTTTTATTTTAAGGAAAATGCAAGTATGCACTTATTATTTGTTAGTGATAGAACTGGGAGGTTTTTTGTTTTGATTGTTTTGTTTTTTTAAACTGAGGCTTTAAAAATAATGATTGGTAAAGCAAATGGCTTAACAAAAAGAAGCGCTCAGGTGAACGTCAAGTTCAGGACTCGTTCTGTGTTTCATCTGAATTTCAGCCTCTGGGATCTTACTTAGCACTGATGACACTGACCAGATCTGGCTGTAAAATGTTTCTTTCCCTATCTGTCAGTATTCCCTTCTTTTTCCTTCTTTCCTTCCTTTCTTTTCTTTCCTTCTAAAGCAAGGAGTAGTGGGAAACCATGGAGTTAGATTCCCACAGATTTCAGTTCTTTTACTTTAAACCGTATTTAATTTTTACAATCTATTTTTATTATATTGATTTACTTTTTAAATTGTATCACCTCGGATGAACTCCTAAATTTTCTGAACCTCAGTTTACTCATTTGCCCGCGGGGGGAAAAAGATATTATTAGCCTGCTTGGGTTATTGAGAGAATGAAATGAGAGAACAGGTGACTGTGCCTTATACATAAGTTTTCTTTATTAAACTGACATTTTTAAAATTAGTGTGATGTTGAGGTATTTGGCGTATTTTTAATAGTTTATTGCCTTCCTAGTCTCAACTCCATCTTGTTTCTCATAAGCAACACTCATGGAATCCTGGTGATCCTTATAACCCATTCCAGAGAGATTTTAATCTACAAGTTACCTTCGCTCTTTAGTTTCAATCATAAAGGAAGCCTATGCTCTCATGAATGCCAAGGAACTTGCTTTTTAGGTACAAGAACAAGTTTTATGGGGTCCACTCATGATCCATATCTCTAAAGAGAATTGCCGTTAGCATTTCTTAAGCACTTTTAATGTTAGAACTTGCTTCTATATTCGTGTCTAGATTAATTTCCTAGGAAGTTTTCCTTTGTGGTGTCTTTAGGTAACTTATGAGTTTTCAGGTCTGGTTGTTGGCATCATTCAATTAGATTAATTGTATTCATGCCTGTAGGTTGTTTTGTTGCTTATTCAGATAAGAAAAATTAATTTGCTGCTAGGAGAGTTTTAATAACACACAAAAAGATAGCTTATCCTTCTTTATTCTGTTAACCAAGTTACTCCTGAATCCCCGTCCCTGTGCCCAGCTAAAAATAATGCCCAGTCTGAGATCTTTTGAAGTCCAATGCCACCGAAGACCTGGCATTATGGAGGAAGAGTCTAGAAAGCATACACACACACACAAATTTTTATTATCTGGTCAGTTTGGAATACATAAGTACTGTTTCTAACAGTTCTAAATGCATTGCATATTTAAATGAAACATTGCCAAAAACATACCCCATGGGAACTGGTATGTTTGATAACTGGTCCCAGCACACACTGAGTGAGCCCAGAGGCAAGTAGGGGTTAGTCAGATTAATCTCTACTTTAGATTCCTTTGACCTAGCTTGGAATCCAGGCCTCACCACTTCCTAGCTGTAAAACCTATAGCAAGTTACTTAATCCCTTTAGCTTCAGTTTCCTTATCTGTAAAATGGAATAACAACAGCAGTACCTCATAGGGTTGCTTGTTGATTTCCAAATGAAAGAATTTGGCTAAAAGGGCTTAGCACAGAGCTCCATTAAAAAGCAGTCCTTACTGTTGTGTTGTTGTTGATATAGCTCCGTAAATATTGATCACTCATCCAGCGATTCATTGCCTTTGTCCTGGACTGTGTAGAAAGCAGGGATCACTCTATTTGTTAGCATTTCTTTAGCAAACATAGGTGCCTATTTGCATCGGGCACTGGCAAGAAAGTCCCCTAGGGAGGGGCGAGGTTCTGGAGCATGGGTGTCGGGGTGACACAAAGGACGAGGGTGCTCCCGACCTAGGGATGTGCCCTCTCAGTCACAGCGATGTGGGTCCCTGGCTGCTCTGACCTGGGTGCTCCTCTTTCGGTCCAGTGGAAACCCTTGAGACATACTGAGCACTGCTCTGTCTCCTTTAAGCCCCGGTTCCTGTCTGTCTTCCTCCATACTCCCGTATTTTTTTTTCTTTTTAAAATTACTCTTTCCTGTTCAAAATTCAGGTGTTCCTGAACCTTGAGTCTTCTTTAAAGGATCTGTGCTGTCCATGTGGTTTCTTAGTGGTCGCTAATGACAGAGACCCTTGGTACAATCCCATTCATTCATTCATTCATTCAGTCATTGATTCTTAAAACGACTTGAGCATCTTCTCCAGGCGCTATGCTGGATGGGCACAAGCTCGCTGTTTCATGGACGCTTGGGAGGTTTTCAGAGGGCCTGAGTTGTGGGTTTCTTTTTTTTCTTCTTCTTCTCTGGTAAGAAAGTAGATCAGGTGTTCTCTCTCTCTCCCTGGCCTGGACATTGTCCCTCTCTGCAAGGAGAGATGGTTGCCTTAGACCCTGGAGGGTGGCCCAGGCCACTTCCAGCCCTGAGGCTGTGTGTTTCACTATCAGTCTGTCTCCAAGTCTCATGAATTATGCATTTAATAAGGGATAGCTGGGCCTGGAAGCTGTGGGGGGTCAGGGTGGGAAGCCCACTGACTCCTGGGGAGAGGGAAGTCACCCTTGGTCTGGAGCAGCCCTTCCGCGGTGGCAGCCACCTCCCCGCAGCGTGACTGAGAAGCCTGGCACTTGTGCATTGAGTACATGTGTAGCCTGACCTTTGGCTGGTGGCTTTGGTCTTTATTTACAGGGCTGCCGTTTATGGCTTTGCCTCTTTATGGAGTGCCTTTTGTTCCGCCAGAGTTGAGGTTTGTTTGATTTTGTGCAGGAAGTGTTTGAAATCAGTTTTCTAACCTTTACCCAAAATGAGCTGAGCTGGAATACCCTCATTGGAAAGCCTCAGGCACCAAGCACGGTCCCCTATCCTTGCATACCGTCTCTAGCCGTCCATCCTTGCTGTTTGGGAAAGCGTCCATGGGTTGGATGTGGTACTGATTTTATAGAATGTGAGATGACATGTACCCAAATCCTTATTCGGTCTTCTTTGGGACTCAGTGAACTGCTGAGATCATTCTCTGAGATTTGTACATGATCTGTGGCTCCAGAAAAAAACACATTTAATATTCTTTATAAGAAAAGAGATAACCATTTGACTTCAGTGATTTAAATTTTTACTCATGTGGAGAGATGCATGGGTCAGGTTTTGTACAT